GAGAGCGGCTCTGCCGGGCATGGAGGAGCCAGGGCTGTCCTTGTTCCCAGAAAGCTTCTGTGTAGTGAGGGGGATGTCACTTAAAGCCTATGTGGAATGCCCATATGACACCATGGGGGTGACACAGGGACTTGTCCTTAAGGAGGGCTTCCTGAACAAGGGGGGCATCTTGAGTGTGGGGAGGAAGCAGGTTTATTCTGCCGGGAATATAGACTCTATAGACTTTCCATAGAAGTGGAAGGGTACCTGAAGGAGGATGAGGCGGAGAAGGTAAGACTGGTAAGGAATAAGTAAAAGGCAAGACAGTGTGGCGATCAGAGGCAGGCTGGTAGCCTGGCACCCGCAGTTCTCCATGGATGCTTGCTGGGAGAGTGGACAGGAGGGGCAAAGCCCAGGAAGAGGCAGGATGCTGATGAGAAGCACGGCCTGCCAAGTGGCTGGGGTTCTGACAGGGGCCTGGTCTGGAGTCCATGTGCACATTAGATGGGTAGAACTGCAGGTTGCATGGCCTGATTTAGTGAATAATTGGTGCAGTCCCATGGGTTAAGGTTATCTATTAAGGCATCTATGCTGCTAATATTTTAGCTGAAAGATGTGTTAGAGTCTGTGGTTGGGGAAAATGTAATATCCATCTCAGGGGGTAATGACACCGTGAAAGCCATATTATTTCTACTGTGGAGAACAATTTTAAGGCTTTGCTAATAGATTAAGCTACTAGAGTGATCGTTTTTTGAACAAAGAGAATAGTTGAGAGTAATAGAGACTTGCTTAGTCTGTTTAGGATGCTAAAGAGTATTAATTTAATCCTATCAATCTGTGACATGTGAAACCTTTAGTCACTGTCATACTACACCAGCTGCGGAATATCACTGGGCCCAGGGTCACCCAGACCAAGGACCAGCTTTTGCTGCTTGGCAACTGCCTGGTTTCAGGTGAGTCACTAGACCCCTGGTAGCTTCAGACCCCATCAGTAAAAGGGGAATGGAAATGCCCAAGCCACAAGATGTTGTGTGTAAATTATTAGAACGAGGCGTTGGGATGGGGTGAAGGGTATTGGGTAAACTGCATTGGCTTCCCTGAATCAAGGACAGAAGTGTGTGGTTTGCAGAAGGTGCACAGAGGCAGATGGTCTGGCCTGACACGTGGGCCGTGAGAGGGGTACACACTGCGCACAGCCTCCTGCGGCCTTCCGCGTGGCAGCCGGCTTCTGTGCCATGCTCATATCCTGCCTCTACGTGTGTGCTAAAATAGGATGAATGTTTAACTAAACATTAAATTAATTACCGCAGAAGACACATTGCCATTAATCACTCCCCAAATACTCCCCTGTTCTCTAAACATCTTTATCCCATCATCCCTGCCACTTTCTGAAGCGGCTCTGGAGGTGTTGGAAATGGGAGAAACCGAAGAAAACAGGTGGAGAAAGGGTTCTCCTTAAAGGGATTTAATACTTAGAAAAGGCAGTGTGGGCAAAGAGACATAAATACTTGGGTGGCAGTGAGAGCATCACAGCCTCTGTAAGCCGCCGCCTGCTGGACAGGTTTTGTTCCTCTGTCTGGTTGAAGGAAGGCCTTCTTTGAAAGCATTTGCCATCTTGTCTCCCCTTGTGAAATACTGGCCTGTTCTCCCCACTGCTGCCAAGACTCATCACGATCTGACTGCAAGCTTCATCTCAGGCCTCATCCTCCACCCTCCGCACACTCTCGGCCTGACGGAGCACAGAAGGCTCCTGCATCCTCTGACAGCCTCTCCAGGTGCCTCTGCATGCGCTGACCTGTGGCTGGGAGCCCAGGTGGGGGCTGGTGTCTCTGGCTTAATCAGGAGCAGTGCCCAAAAATGTGGCGGGCACAGACCCAGGCGTCCTTCAGGTTCTGTGGAGGCTGAAGCCGAGCAGTGGGGAATCCTGTATCTGCGAAAGGAGTGCAAACAGCCCAGTGGTGAAGCAGTGGAGTGCCTGGGATGAAGCTGCCATGGATCAGCGTGTCGCATGGCATGGAATGTTCTGTAGAGGGGAAGGCAGAACTCTGCTTGGGGGCTTTGCTTACTGGGAGGTGCTAACAGCAGGACTGCTGGGCCCACAGCTGCCCTTCTCTGTGCCTCGTTCTTTCCCCTGCAACCCTGGCTTACCATCATTTATGGGGCTAGCGCCACCTCTACCCAGGTGTCTGACGTAACAAAGTTAATGACAGACACTGCCAAGCAGTTCGAGCCTGCTGGCCGTATGCTGGTTTTCACCTCGTCTGTGGCAGCGGCTAGGTCATAGGCACCTCCAGACCTTCTGCTTCCTCCTGGGGCCAGGGCAGGCATGGTGTGTCCTCTCCGAGTCACCATGGGTGCAAGGCTGAGCCTCTGAACCGACAAGGCAGCCTCTCCTCAGCCTTGCAGAATTTTAGCCCCGTCAACACCAGTGCTATTAAAGGTGTTAAAGGATAGGGATTCTAAGCCAGTGGAAAGTTTCTTTTAGTGAATACTTCATTTGAAGCTTTGGCTTTTGTCCATTAACAGTGTTATGTCCACAGCACGTCATTTGACCTCACTGGAGCGTGGTGGGCCTGTTTGCACACATGAGTACCTTGACATGAGTCGCCTGTCCCTCACCCTTCCTTTGTGTAGAATGACTGAAAGTTAAAAGGAGAAAAGGTTCATTGCCTGTTCCCTCCCCTTCCCAGTCTCCTGCCCAGCTCTTTTTCAAAGTCAAATAAATCAATATTTACTTCTAAAGTCCTGGTTCACATTACATTTTCCCTGTTAAACGAAATTAGAGAAAATAGTAAAAGAGGAAAAAAGACTGAAAGAAAGAAAGGAAAGAAAGAAAATAAATCAGGCTAAATCTATTAATAGCTTCCACTTAGAGTAGCTCTCTAGTTTGTGGTGAATTCCATCATTGCAAATTTCCTTCCAGTCCCTAACATTGGATGCTCTAGGGCTCACACAAAGGTGTGTTTTCAATTTTTCTCTATGGATTAACCATGACCCACCTGTTCACACAGCCCTTCCCTCTCAGCACCTGGAATAATTGCAGGGTTGGAATGAAACCCTCCAAGCCAGATGGGCCCTTTCCATAGAATGTGTGGTTCTGGCCTGTCACAGATGTGTGTGGGGCAAGGGCAGGAAGCTGCCCCGTATCACTCATGAGCCAGGAGAGCTGTCAGAAGCATCATAAGTGTGAGCTTGTGGTGGCTGCCAGAGCAACACCCCCACCCCAATCTTCTGGATGTCCTGGTTTCCTGCCTGACTCCACCCCACAGCTCCTCGGGGACCTCTGCCGTACCCTGCAGTGCAGTTGTGCCCTCTGCTGTGCGCCTGCCCTGCAGGCTCTGAGCTCCTTGAAGGACTGTAATTTCTACTGTGGTGCTCGCTTAGCACCCTTCTCAGCATCTGGCACCCAGAACAACAAGTACTGGGTGTTTACCATGTGCTGAGCATTGATCTTGGTTTTGGGGAAACTGCTGTGACAAGACAGACACAGTCCCTACCTTTGTGGAGGTCACAGTCTAGTGGTAGCTGAAAAAGGGGTACAAGTTTCACTGACTGAAGGAAGTAATTGACATGCTGCAATATATTCCACACAGAGAGGGTTTAGGAAAGTATGAATAGATGGAATGGATGAATGACCAAATGAATGAACGGGTTAAAAGGGCAGTGGTACTACTTTGAATATGAAATCTCCTTTAATTCCCTTGCGCTCTTCCTGAGGCATTTTAGCTCTAGAAACCCGAGGGTTGTGGGCAGAGCATTGCTCATACATCACGGCTAAGAAGTAGTGGGACTGACTCTTACCCAAGGTTAATGCAGGACAAAGCAAGTGCTTTCTCCCCCTTGCTACTTGGCCCCCTGGAAAAAGCCATTGATTGCTCTGATGTTCCCATAGGTCTGAGCACTCATCCTCTGGCTGAGCAAACCCAGGCAGGCCCTTTTGCCTCTTTCCTGGGCTTGTTTTCTCACTCATTCTTACAGTCCTAGGCTCTCTATTCTTTCTAAATCATTCCCATGTCTTTTATTCCTCTTCTCAAGATCAAGTTACTATAGAACAGCCCCAACCTAACTGAACCAGGGAAGCGTATGGCCTTAGCACCAGCAGGAGCACTCTGCCAGCTCGGAGCCGCCAAGAAAGGGCTGGCCATGGAACCCAGGGGTCCCCTCTGCCACCTGATGCTCCCCGGAGTCCTCCTGCCCAGACTGGCAGCCAGAGTCCCTGAGTAGGCTCTTCTTGAATGTTGAGGGTGACCCTGGGGAAAGGGAATCTTGTGCGAGTACCTGATCATTCCTAGGATGAGGTTGGTCTTCATGCAGCATTGAGCTCCCAGAATGTGGGAAGACAGAAGACCCTGAAGAAGCCTATTTTTTTGTCACTGCCAAATGATTGGCTATACTAGCTATTTCCAGGAGCCTGTCTATGACAGTGGGTAACCTGAACAGTGCTTAGTGTTTTGTTTTTTTAAAAATAGTACTGGGGGAGCCGGGGATTTAGCTCAGTGGTTCGGTGACCTTCCTCGCAAGCACAAGGACCTGAGTTCCATCCCCGGTACCACACACACACACACACACACACACACACACACACAAAAATACTGGGGATCAAACCCAGGGACATTACCACTGAGTCATCCTGGCCCTTTTTAAATTTTGAGAGAGAATCTCACTGAATTGCCTAGGCTGTCCTGAAACTTTCATCCCTCCTGCCTCAGCCTCCAGCTAACCCTCACCTATTAGTGACCTCTGTACCTCCTGGAAACCACGGGAGGAAGCTTGCCACCAGGAAAGGGCTTGGACTTTGGGCTTGGACTTGAGTTTCATTAGCTACACTGAATGGCCACTGGCCACCTTCCTTTGTATCGTGGAAGCTTGCTCTCTTCATAAAATAGGCATGAGCACAGTCACAGAGCATAGAGGACTGTATACAGGACAGATGAGCTCCAGTCACGCACTGGTGGCTCTTTCAGCTGAGCTGTCACTTTGTTATTATAAGACCATGTGACCTTTCTCTTGCCCTCCCCCAGGTCACTGAAGAGGAGCCCAGCTCCAACCACACAGTCATGATCCAGGAGACCCTCCAGCAAGCCTCTGTGGAGCTGGCCGAGCAGCACCACCTGGTGGTGTCCTCTGATGACGTGGAGGGCATCGAGACGGTGACTGTGTACACACAGGGCGGAGAGGCCTCAGAGTTCATTGTTTATGTGCAGGAGGCCATGCAGCCCATGGAGGAGCAAGCAGGGGAGCAGCCAGCTCAGGAGCTCTAGAGGACATCAGCCTCTCAAATGCACAGGACAGGCTGCTGGGCACCCAGGGTGGAGACTACCCAGCCACCTGGCTGGTGCAGTAGCACTGTCCTCTGTTCTTCCAGCCCAGAGGCCCAGGTGGGCTCTCCTCACTGTTTGGGTGGTCAAGACGACTGCATCACCAGCAATACAGGATCTGGGACCCCAGCACAGACTCGCCCCACCCCCCATCACCTGCTTCGGAAGGACCTTTGTATCACCTGTTCTGCTCCATGTTACCCCTTGCTTCCAGGTCCAAACTGAGACTCTGTCCCATCAGTGTCTTCTCTGAATCACACTCCTAGTCCCTGGTCACACCTCCTGCTCCTCCCTGTCTGGGCCCACTGTGCAGTCTGGTGAATGGGAGACAGCCACCACACAGCAAGTGACCTTATGGCTCATGTGTGGCGCTGGATACAGCAGGTGGGATTGTCCCAGCTCTTTCCCCAGGGCCCCACCCTCCTCGAATACAGGGGTGGGTACTTGGGATCGAGTGAGGTAACCAACTTTCCCCCATCACAAGGTTCCAGCTTGCCATTTTAGAATCCTTTTGTTTTTAAGAAAAATGCACTTTTACCCTTTGTCCCCTGTTCTGAGAGTTGAGGGCAGAATAAAAGTGTCTACTGCCTGTGTGCTTTGCTCCTTGTTGGGGGAATGGTATCATTCTCCTTCCCACATGAGTACTGGGCCCCATCATTATAGCCAGCCATGCCTGTTCCCTGAGAAAGCACTTGGGTTGGCTTCCATTTCTGGGTGCCAGGTGTGTCATTCAGTGCCAGCCAAGAAGCGGCAGTGTCCCTATTTTTATTCTGTGCTGGGGGAGAGTGGGAAACAGCCTCGGTACTGTGTGACTGTGGTGCCCATCCAGGTGCTCCTGCATCGGAGGTGGGACATGTGGAGGAGTCCTACCTACCCTGGGTCTGTTATGTCTCCTGGTGAGGTCAAGGCTATGTCCTCTGAGGATCTTTCAGCAGGATTGTAGGCAGGTGCCAGGCACGGGGGATGCAGGTACAGATCAGCCACTTTGGAAGCAAGGACAGGTTTAGACCTGCAGGGCTCAGGGGATGGGGGTGGAAGGGCTGCGGCACAGGAGGAAGTGGTGCCTGAATCAAGGGAGCACCTCCGGCCTTCCAAGGAAGGCAGGCTGAGTTAGGGAAGAGTCCTGTGGTCTGGAACCACATGGTGTGCACTTATAGTCTGGAGTGGAAAAGAGTTTGAAGGAAATTCCCAAGAGTGGTGGTGGAGCCGCTCTCTGTGCTGGGCAGCAGCCAGGTGGAAGGTGAGTGAAGAGCCTTTCTGCTTGGTCTAGGGCAGCTACAAAAGGAAGGATGGGAAGGTCAGCCAGAAGCCAGACTGTACAAGAGCTAGGGTGTGAGGTGACAGGTGTTGATTTTGGCCCCCTAAGCCAGCGGGTGAGAAGGTCTGAGCAGTGTTCCAGACAACCCCTGCCTAAGCAGCAATGTGGCCTCAGTGGAGGGGGCTGTGTGTCCAGAGTGCAGACAGAGAGTCTGGGCTCACCCAGCCCTATCACTTCTCACTCAGTGGCCTCAGAGAGCCACTAGATCTGAGTTTCAGTTTCCTCATCTCTAAAATAGGTCCAAGGACAATTACCAGCTCCTCCAGTTACTGCAGAACAAACTGGGAACAGCCTGAGAAGCCTTTAGTGGAGCATGTGGCCCACACTCTTTAAAGATCAGTTACTGGTGTCCCTAGGAATGGGGCCATGAACATGGACACCCCTGTAGCTCCTCCCTCACAGATCAAGGATTGGTGGGAGAGAGGGTGTGCATGTGGAAGAGGAGAGTCCTCCAGTGTTCAGTGCCATTCCCTGGTGCACAGATTCCATTTTTATACTACCCACCACCAAGTGATAGGGAGATATGACAGTGGGAGGTGGTAGAGTCACCAGTGTTCCTGGCTGACCATGGCCTGTGGATATCTCAGCATGATGGGGCAGGAGGGCAGGCTTTTTGGGATCTCTTCTCCGGGGAGCTTTGCTAAGCCACAGGGTCATTCCAGAGTGTGTAAAATGTGGTTCTTACCACCTTCCTCCAGTCCACACCCCTTTGACTTTGTCCTTGAACACTGTTTTAAACTCAACTTGTATTTTGTGTGAGACAAGGCAAAGACTGATGGTCCCCACTTTCCTGATTTATATATAAGATTGGACCACTGGGGTTTCTGTAATGCTTACAGTGTAGTGTAAGTGCTATTCCTGTTCTATCACAGAAACCCCATGAGTTAGGTGCTATCAGTAGAATTTTATTGATGGAGAATGTTAATTAGCATAAAGATTCAAAGGAACTTGCTCAAAGTCACACAGAAAGTAGGAGAACCAGGGATTGAGCCCCAGCAAGATCTGAACTTAGAACCAAAATGGTCCTCTGCCAATTCTTCTCTTTTTTTTATTTTCAAACTTTAAAGTTTATTTTTATTTTTTTCCTCATTGAGTTTATTGGTATATTTTAGGTATACAGTACAGTTACATTCATTATTTGGATCTTGTACCTTTACATGACAGGTCTTGGTTCTCATTTTTTCCCCTTGTCTCTGCCCTCCCTTCACCCCCTCCTCCTCTCCCCCTTTACAAATACTTAATTTCCATTTTCTCAGATTTTTTTCTTTTCCTTCATTAGCATTCCCCTACCCTTCCCACTTTCCATACAACTTTAGCCCCTTTCTTCCTATTTCACATTGTCCATTATATCATTAGTATCTTATGTACTATTATAGTTTATTCACACCACATAAACTATTCAGTATTTACATGTGTGACATTTATTTCACTTAGGAGTATATCCTCAATATTTATCCACTTTCCTATGAATGAATCTAATTTCTAATTCTTTATGGCTGAGTAGTATTCCACTTTATAGAAAAACCACATCTTCTTTATCCAGTTTCCAACTGATGGGCAAATGGGCTGTTTGCAAGTTTTAGCTATTCCAAACTGTGCCGCTATATACATAGATGTGCATATATCTCTGTGATATGATTCTTTTAATTCTTTTGAAAAGATACCCAGCAGAGAGATGGCTGGGTCAAATGGAACCTCTAGTCCCAGCTCTTTGAGGTATCTCCATATTGATTTCCATAGTGGTTGCACCAGTCTGCACTCCCACCAACAAAGGAGAAGGGTTCCTTTCTCCCCACAACCCCGCCAACATTTGTTATTGTTGGATTTCTTGATAACAGCCATTCTTTGTGGGATGAAGTGGAATCTCAGTGTTATTTTCATCTGCGTCTCGAATCCCCTTTATATTATGAGATCATAGTGCAATCAAGCTGGAGATCAATAGCATAAGAAACCGTAGGAACTTCACAAACACATGGAAATTGAACAACACTCTCCTGAAGAATCAATGGATCACAGAGGAAATTAAAGAAGAAATTAGACAGTTTTTACAAATAAATGAAAATGCCAATACAACATACAGGAATCTATGGGACACAATGAAAGCAGTTCTATGTGGAAAATTCATAGCACTGAATGCCCACACTAGGAAAACAGAGTGAGCTCAAGTAAACAACCTAATGATGAATCTTAGACTACTAGAAAAACAACAGGAAGAAAAACCCAAAGCTCAAAGAAGAGAGGACATTATAAAGATTAGAGCAGAAAACTGCAATGGAAACTAAGAAAACCATACAAAAAAATAAATGAATCAAAGAGTTGGTTTTTGAAAGAATAAATAAAATCAATAAACCCTTAGCTAATATTATTAAAAAAAGGAAAGAAAAGGCTCAGATCCATGCAATCAGGAATGAAAAAGCCAAAGTCATAACAGATCAAACAGAAATCCAGAGGATCATTAATACCTACCTTGAGAACCTGTACTATAATAAAATGGAAAACACAGAAGAAATCGACAGATTTTTAGATACTTATGAATTACCAAAGTTGAACAAAGAAGATAAAAACATTCCAAACACCCCAATTACAGTCAGTGAAATTGAAAATGTATATTGAAGATATACTCCTAAGTGAAATAAGTCACACATGTGTAAATACCGAATAGTTTCCCTGGTGTGAATAATCTGCAACAATGCATAAGATTCTAATAAGATTACTGACATTTAGAAATGGGAACAAAGGAGCTAAAGGTGTAGGGAAGGTGGGATGGGTAGGGGAAGAGTAAAAAGGGAAAAGAAAAAAATGTGAGAGAATGAAAAGATGAAAATAAAGTGTTTGTAGATGGGGAGGGGAAGAGGGGGTGAAGGGAGGGCAGAGGTAAGGGGAAAAAATGAGAATCAAGACTTGTCATGTAGAGGTACAAGATCCCAACAATGAATGTAACTGTACTGTATCCCTAAAATGTACCAATAAACTAAATTAAGCTGAAAAAAAAAAAGAAAATGTAATTAAAAATTTACCAACAAAGAAAAGCCCCAGTCCTGATGGATTCACTGCTGAATTTTACAAGACATTTAGAGAAGAACTACTGCCTTTACTCTTCAAACTTTTCAATGAAATTGAAAGGGAAGCAATACTTCCAAATTCATTCCTGGAAGCAAGTATCACTTTGATTTCCAAACCAGGGAAAGACACAACTGGAAAAGAGAACTACAGGCCAATCTCCTTAATGAATATAGATGCAAAAGTCCTTAATAAGATGCTAGCAAACAGAATACAGAGGATCATCAAGAAGATCATACATCCTGACCAAGTTGGATTTATTCCAGGGATGCAAGGATGGTTCAACATACATAAATCAATAAATGTAATACACTATATTAACAGAGTCAAGGACAAAAACCATATGATCCTCTCGATAGGTGCAGAAAAAGCATGTGACAAAATTTACCCATTCATGATAAAAACCCTGCAAAAAATTGGAATAGATGGTCTATATCGCAACTTAATAAAAACTTATCTATGAAAAACCAACAGCCAACATTATATTAAATGGCCAAAATCTGAAAACTTTTATGTTACAATCAGGAACAAGACAAGGATGCCCACTATCACCACTCCTCTTCGATATAGTTCTGGGAACATTAGCCACAGCAATCTTCTCTCTCTTTTATAGCCAGGAGAACAGGATGTAACTCACCTTGGGTGACGCTTGAGGCTAGAAAGTAATGCATCTGGGAGCTGACTGCAGGGCCAAGACTCATTTTCTCAGGTTCTGGTTATGTTCCCTGGGCCATGCTGCCTTCCTCTCTGTGAACTCTGATACTGGGAATTTGGAACAAGGACAACATATAGGGGTGAGGTCAGTATTTGGGGGGCAAAGGTGAGAGATATGGTCTGCCTCCTGGGGCTAAAGCCCAGGAACACTTTCTATGTGAGGAATTAATGGTTTCCATCATTTTCTTAAGCTATTGTATATATATATTATCCATATCTACTCTAGATTCACTAACCATGTCCTTCATTATGGTCATCATCTCTTTAGTCATCTGAGACATTATTTCCAACTTGACTTTTTTCTAGGCCCTCATTTGTCTGCTTTGTTACTTCCACCATTATCATTTCAGAGAGTTCAGATGGTTGGCTTTCAAATTGTTCCACCTCACTGTCCCTTGGGTTTGCCTTGGCTGAGCTGGAAGTCTGGGGTTGCATCTTGTTTCCATATGTTCTCATCTTCTTTTTATTTTTTCCTTTTTAGTTTAGTTTCT